TGACCCTCCTGTCCTCCAGTGTCGTCAGGCCGATTTCCCTCAACCTTTCTTCGTAGGACAATCCACGTAGCTCTGGGACTAGTCTTGTTGCAAACCTTTGCACTTTCTCTAATTTCTTGACGTGCTTGACTAGGTGTGGATTCCAAACTGGTGCTGCATACTCCAGTATGGGCCTGACGTAAATGGTATACAGAGTCTTAAACGAATCCTTACTGAGGTATCGGAACGTTATCCGTAGGTTTTCCAGGCGCCCGTATGCTGCAGCAGTTATCTGATTGATGTGCGCTTCAGGAGATATGCTCGGTGTTATGCTCACCCCCAGATCTTTTTCCTTGAGTGAGGTTTGCAGTCTTTGGCCCTCTAAACTATATTGTGTCTGCGGTCTTCTTTGCCCTTCCCCAATCTTCATGACTTTGCATTTGGCAGGGTTAAATTCAAGGAGCCAGTTGCTGGACCAGGCTTGTAGCCTGTCCAGGTCTCTTTTTAGTCCTGCCTGATCCTCATCCGATTTGATTCTTCTCATTAACTTCGCATCATCTGCAAACAAGGACACTTCTGAGTCTATCCCTTCCGTTATGTCGTTCACATATACCAAGAACAGCACAGGTCCTAGGACTGACCCCTGTGGAACCCCGCTTGTCACAGGCGCCCACTCTGACACCTCGTCGCGTACCATGACTCGTTGTTGCCTCCCTGTCAGGTATTCTCTGATCCATTGCAGTGCCTTTCCTGTTATGTGTGCCTGATCCTCTAGCTTTTGCAGTAACCTCTTGTGAGGAACTGTGTCGAAGGCCTTCTTGCAGTCCAAAAATATGCAGTCGATCCACCCCTCTCTCTCTTGTCTTACTTCTGTCACCTTGTCATAAAACTCTAGTAGGTTTGTGACACAGGATTTTCCTTCCCTGAAACCATGCTGGTTGTCAATTATACACTTGTTTCTTTCCAGGTGCTCCACCACTCTCCACCTGATGATCTTCTCCATGACCTTGCATACTATACATGTTAGTGATACAAGTCTGTAGTTTAGTGCCTCATGTCTGTGTGTGTGTGTGTGTGTGTGTGTGTCTGTATGTGTGTTTGTGTGTGTGCGTGTTTGTTTGGCTACAGTGGCCCGTGGCGTGATGGCAAAAGTTCTTGCTTCACAAGGTGATGGTACGGGTTCGATTCCATGCTAAAGGTGAAAACATGGGTGTGCTTCCTTACACCGGTTGTCCATGTTCACCCATCAGTAATAACATGTACCTGGGTGTTAGTCTGAACGAGGAACAAGGCCCTGGGCCTCTCTGACATAACAGCAAAATAATTAAAGTACCTGCCCCTGGTTACTTCCCAGTCACATTTAAGATGGCAAAGATGATTTTCATTGCAAAACCCAGCAAGGACAACCGGAAACCAGAGAACTACAGACCTATCTCCCTACTCGAAATAAGAACATAAGAAAGGAGGAACACTGCAGCAGGCCTGTTGGCCCATACTAGGCAGGTCTTCGAAAAGTCTTCGACAGACTGAACTACCACATGGAATTCAACCACCTCTTCACCGAAAAGCAGTTTGGCTTCAGGTCCCACCGCGTGAAACAGCACGCTATCATTATCATCTTTGATGCGGTGGACAGCCTGAGGAAACATGGGAACCTTGCCGTAATTGCAACCTGGGACGTACACAAAGCCTTTGACAGCCTGTGGCCCGACGGCCTCATATTCAAACTTGAAGACCTCCCAGACCACAACTGGACCTTTCTCAGGCTCATATACAACTTCTTAACAGGAAGACGCATCATTCCCACCTTCAATGGTAAGTCAGCAGCACCCTTCACACCGACAGCTGGAGTACCACAGGGCTCATGCCTCAGCCCCAGACTCTTCAACATATATGTAAACGACCTCCCACAACCCGAATTCAATGATACCATCATCACCCAATTTTCAGGCGATGTTATCCATGTAGTATCATCCACCCCCATATCAGGTGCCAACAAACATACGAGATTAATTGAGAAAATGAATGAGGAGCTACGAAGAACAGCTAACTGGGAGAAAAAACGGAGAATCACAACTAACTTAGATAAAGTCCTCATTAGCACCATTGGCTGTTTTGCATCAACCATAGAAGATAAAGGGAGAATCTCTATCAGAGGTTCACGAATTGCTATTAGTAATCCAAACAAGATCTTGGGTTATGAAATCAACAGATTGCTTCATTCCACATTGCACATCACCGATAAAGTGAACCTAGCAAAAGCCCGCCTCAGTCAACTATTCTGATTCAAAGAAACCCCCTCCCACATTAAAAAGCACCTTCATAAGAAGATGATCAGACCTTTGCTTGAATACCCATGCGTACCCATGTCACTAACCACTACATGCTATGGCTCCAAAGAGTCGAGAACAAAGCCCTCCGCTTTATCACCGGCACAAGACTTAGGGAAAGAATACACAAAGAATCAGGGTGGAAGACCTACACATACAACAGGAAATAGTGGCAATTAATGTCAGGCTAGACAAATTGAAGAGACAACTATATGACATGCAAGAACTCTATGTACCTCACAGAGAAAACTCACCACAACCGATGAACACTACCGACTACACTATCAGCACACCTACACACAGAACACAAAGAATAACCCTCCAACAAAGAGTTCGAAGCTTCATTCACAAGGAGAACTTTCCACGATCAAGAATCCTGAGTGACCTCCCTGAAGAAACAGAAGAATGATATCACCTGAACTACTCAACGTCCAGCAACAAGGATAAATGAGCCCCATTTTTGGGAGACCTACCTCTATGAATCTACACCTTACAACTGACAATTGCAAATAGTATACATCCTTCCAACTCAGTGGCAGTATACCACTGGTATAACTGTGTACAACTGACGGACAGGAAGTATACCTATCTCATGGATCTAATGTATTCAAGAATAACAGGCCTGGTTACTTTAGTATGCTCTGGTAATGAATTCCAGATTTTGGGGCCCTTTATGTGCATAGAGTGTTTACACAGTGTGATATGGACACGAGGTATATCTGTGTCTTGTGTTATGTTCGTGTATCTTGTGTTATGTTCGTGTGTCTTGTGTTACAGTCATGTGTCTTGTGTTATAGTCATGTGTCTTGTGTTACAGTCAAGTGTCTTGTGTTATGGTCATGTGTCTTGTGTTATGGTTGTGTGTCTTGTGTTATGTCGTGTGTCTTGTGTTATGGTTGTGTG